AATAATCGAATACCTTAGTAGTTTGTAATCGCAGCATTCGAGAAAATAAAAAGTAAATTTTTATCTATTAATTTATATAATGCTTTTTTGATTGAATAAATATAAGTTAAAAATTCCATGTACATCTTTGAAATATATTAACAAAATCGTAGGAAATAATTTCTTGAGGAAATCGGTCGTAGATTATTCCATTTCTTTTTAATATGATTAATTCTGAAGAATGAATCAGGTAATGATTTTCTATATTTCTTTGTTTTTAAAATATGCAACGCTCGAAATACAGGAGAATCGTCGCGATTATTCATCCTCGCATCGATACTAAACAAAAGAAGGCGTTTATATAATAGCCAGCGCTGTGAAAAACCGAGAAATTCGATGTCAATTACAAACTGCTTTTACAGTTCCCCTTGAATTGCACAAATAGCATATTCCTCTCCAGATACGAAGGAATGCGAACTGTAAATATTTCGAGATATTATCCGTGTTGCAAGATGATTCGATATTTATCGGATTCATATATGGATTTTTTTCTTCATGGTCCGTTATATTTGTTAAAATTGGAAAATTTTAATTAAAAAGCATAATGTAATATTGATTTTATAAATTTGTAATTCTTTTCAATTTAATTATTATTCAAGATAGAGATATAGTGGATCATTTTATTATTTCAGTAGAATTAAGTTCATTTCGATCATCGTATCAGGAAATTGTAAATGTAAAAATATACGTGCACATCTCTTTTGCACTTTTTTCAAAACTTTTTACATTGTACGAAGTAGCTTAAATAAATAATTGTCCATATATTTCTTCGAGCTGGTTTCTTCTTCTTCGAATAAGCATCATCACGATTGTTAAAAATCGAATCGAAGATTTCGATAAACGCCTCCGTTCTAACTTCCGACTTTCTAAACAGGCAAAGCGTGGAAAATTCTTTATATACGAAAAGTATTTGAAAATACTTAATATCCGTTCCACACATTTCTTCTTTCCAACTTGGACAAGTATTCCATCGAACGAAAGTATTAAAGTTTCTGATGGCTCACGATATTTTAAACTTTGACCTTTGCCACTTATTTCACCCTCGCGATCCTTCGATCATTTGCATGCATATGAAATCACAGAGATTCTCAACAGTATCAGAGCATTATTCCATCTGTGGAAAAGGCGATGTCGCGTTGGAATTAAAGCTTTTCCAAGCTTACTTCTCCAAGCTTACTTTTCCCTCAATGTTTCATTAATGTTAATTCGAGAATTATCGAGCCCCTTCGAAAATTATTGTTATATATTATCAGAGTGTGCGTACGATTTCACTCGATTCCGTTTCTTGAACTATTCGTGAGAATACAATCGGCCGACCTGTGTACGAAACAATGGTACACATTTTCTGGTTTAATTGCTGAGCAAATGGCGGTGATTTCGTTTAAATTAGAGAAAGATTTCCTTTGCAATTTCTACTGTACGATTTTTGGATGTAATTACGGTTTATTGTGTACATTTTTTTCTTTTGTTTGTTATAACGTTTTTTCTTTTTCTTTTTCAAGCGCTTTTTAATTTTCTCGATTCATATGAGCAATATGAATTGAGGGGTACAATTATAAGAACATTCTTGGATTTTATTTATCTTGAATCTGTTACGAGATCTATTTCGATCGAACATGTTTCAAGATAAATATTTGAAACGATTGAATTTTTATTCCTAGAGATTGATATCTGTTTATTAAAAAAAGAAAAAAGGGTGATATGAAATTGAAATGAATCTGTTGTTTGTATGTGAAAATGTATATTTTGAACATTCAATGTTAGGATGCAATCAGAGATGCCAAATTGCATATAAACAAATCATTTTAATTTATTTGAAGGAAAATTTACTCGAAAGCCAAGTGTTAGCATAGAGTTCAAGAGTTCAAGAATCTCTTTATTTAAGTTCGAAACTTTTAATTGACAAACCAATTAAATGATTATTGAAATACCGAAGCGATTAAATTAACTTGTCAATTGAAAGTTTAAATGACGATCCGTGAATTACAATAAATTATACGATAAATTATTTTCAGAGAATCTGATTTCCAATTTTCAAAATTTCTGTATTCTTTAGAATTTTTTTCAAAAAGTAATAATGAGACAATGATACAAGAATACATTGTTGGCAACGTTTTGTAAGATTTCGAAGCAATTTTAAAAGCATTTTCTGGATTTTTCTTTAACGCAGATACATTTAAATCCCTTCAATATTTAACAATGATGCTTCGTTTAAATTTTAATTAATGATAAAGTCGAGAGAATATCGCAATCAGGAAATATTCTTTCAATTCAAATTTCATTCCTTGTCAACAAAGTTTGCTTTTAAACATTTAATACATTCATTTACAATTCACAAAACATAAAACTCTTCTCTACAAAAAATACATAAATTCCTGATATATAGTTTCTTTTGTATTAACACATACTTTTTACCCATTTATTTAAGAACTATCAAATATAAATAATATATAATAAATAAATAATAAATAAATAATAAATAATAATAAATAAATAAAATAATATATAAACTGATCCATAAGCCACAAATGCACATTTAAAAGTGTACAAAACGAAAGATCAGGCATTTTAATAATTTTCCAAAGTGTCTCGTCATCCTTCCAAAACCGACTCGTTTCAATTACTCAAAGATAACGTTTCCAATAGTTGGAAATTAGGTCAGAAGCCTCTATCTAGCAGCTGACTAATTATCCAGGGGGAAAAAGGAAGGAGCGGTGGTCGGGAATGTATGGATTCCCTAATAAATCTCGCCTCGTATAATATATCGTGGACATTTATTAAGTGCGCGCCGTAAACCGGAAACCGCGTGCAGCTGTTCGCAGAGGAACGCGCGAATATCGACAACAAAGAGACGAAAAGCTCGATAATCGAAACATTAAATCGGCACAACGAGCCAGCCCTGACGTAATTTTCGGTATTTCGCGGATCCATTTCGTCGGATTTAATCGGATTCGTCGATCTTCTGGAAATGAACCGTGGCCCGTTGATGAAAAAAAGATGAAACTCCGCGCTTTTAATAAGGTTCCGCGCGAATATAATTATAATCCCCCCGCCTCGTTAAATCTTCGTTTCGATCGGAGACAGGGATCTGCATGGCAAGATCAAGATGGAGGCGTTAAATTAGCGGAACGAGCTTCGTTCCTTCTGAGAAATTATAATTAAAGGTTTCGATTTAATATTTGGTTAATTAAAGCTAATGATGATTTGTTTAATGAAAACTTCTTTTTAAAAGATATTGTATAACTTCGTTATATTTTGAAATATTTATTCGTTTATTTAAGTATTAATCGAATCTTTATTGTCTATTGTTATTATTGTATATTCTTGATTTGTTTTTCCAATGTGTCTTATAAAAAAAAAAAATGCATCTATAATTAGAAAATTTTCCAATATCAAATGGGTAATTTTTTATATGAATTTTTATTAATGATAATGGAATTTGATTAATTATTCACATTTATTTACGGTAATTGTATAATATTATACTTTTGATGACAAAAATATAAATAGAATAAATAAATTAGGAATCTATGTTTAGAAAATTCGAAAAAATGTGTTTAGGAATTTGTGTTTAGAAAATTCGAAAAAAGATTTATTTGTTAAGTTTCAACAAAAGTAAAAGTAACTTTATTAAAATTCGTCAATTGTTCAAGAAAATTTATTAATAAAAAAAATTGTTATGTGCAATATCAAAGATTCCATTTCTTATCGTGATTTTGATTTATTATTTTTTTATTCTCTTTTTAAATATTTCACAATAATAAAATTCTAAATTCCATAGTATAAAGATATAATTGAGCATGGATCATACTTATCTCTTATTCCACATCAAAATTATCGTGTGCACAGTTCATTTAAATCTAATAACACCGATATATTGGAAACTACTGACTATCCTGCCTTTAATACGATAGAAATGATAATGATTTGTGTTTTGGATAAATTATGATAATCACGTCAAATCGATATTAACTTAAGGTAATTGTCGTCAATTAATTAATCTCTGACAGCCGTTTATCTATTTACATTGAAAAGTCAGTGCAACACTGATTTATTTGTATATGTGTAATGCTTGATTATGCAATCATTAACCTAGTGCCCATTAATTATTGATGCACTCTGCATTACTAACATTTTGACTATTTGATTTGACCATGTCTTCTCTCGTATCGAAATATATATCCTAAGATATTATATTGTTTTTTTTTTCGAATATATATTAAACACCAATTAATTATATCTCTAATAAATTCAATTCCAACAAATTTTCTAGGTAGGTCTATTATTCATTTAAGACTCATTTACACATCTGTTATTTTATTAATTTTTTTTTTATTTATTAATTTTTATTTTATTTTTATTAAGGAAAAAATAAATATATCATAACAGAAAATGATATTTTAAAACATACATATTTTGTTATGATATCTAAAGTTTTTTTATAAAATAAAGAATTTATTTTAATTATTGTTAATAAATGTTAGAAATACATATGATATTTGAAAATAAACATTCTAAATTCTTTTGTTTTGTCTTTGTCTTTAAATAACTTATTTAATCATAGGACACATTGGAATTAATCAATCAATTTAACATCAACAAATAATTCAATCATCAATTTCTCTCTATTTTTATATTTTTCTATATTCATGACAAATTCATAACATACATCTAAATAACAAAACCAATTGCCTAAATGCTTTACGTTCTCATTACGAAACAAGTAAAAACTTTAACCATTTAAATCTGAACCAATCATCTTGTTCTTGCCAATAGATTATAAAAAAAAGATATAAAATAAAAGACAAAGATTAAAATCGAACAAAACATCCGTATAAAACGATAAAATATCGACGATATAAAATCACGAGAAACGAGAAACGATAGAAATAATGAGATAAGCACGAAAACGCGAACGAGATCGATGATGATGGATTAATTATGTGATATGAACACGTTAGTGCGGATGAGGGTTTCGACGGGACATACCAAACAAACGTGGTAGTCACGCATAACGGCAGTTGCCTGTACGTTCCTCCGGGCATCTTCAAGAGCACTTGCAAGATAGACATCACTTGGTTCCCCTTTGACGACCAACACTGTGACATGAAGTTCGGATCCTGGACCTACGACGGCAACCAGGTACACTACTGTCTCCACTAAACACTAAACACGCTCAGAGAACACACAAAGCACCAAAAAAAAAAAAGAGAACTCTCTTTATTGAGTCCCAAATTCTTCTGGTGGCGCGATATATTGCGCCATTTTCCTTGGACGATACAAACGTGGCTTCGAAATTACCGCCAATGGACGATCCGAAAGCGACCAATCCGCTCGATACGTCGTCGTAGAGAGAGAAACGAAATTTAAATTTTTTAATTTCTGTATTTTACTTTCTTTTTAATTTTTCATAATAGCTGCACTTCTTTTTGTAAATCGAATTTTCAATGAGATTGTTTTTTGGGAAATATTTATTATATTCGCGAAGTGGTTACGGTGGATACAGTAATAGGTTATTATTTTTGTAATTTTACTTATTTAATTATTGAGTTTGATACTTATAATATGATACGTAATTAACTTTATATAGTATTTGAATAAACTATTGATTATAATATTGAAATTGATAAGTTGATAAGTTGATATATAACATATATAAGTTGATATATTTCATACGTCGATTAATTTTCTGTTCAAACTGGATAAAATTACATTGAATAATTTTTCTTTTAATTAACTAGGATTTAAATTGAATTTCGTTAATAAAAAATAACAATTTAATTAGTAAAAATGTTCCATCAAATGGAAATAGAATAGCAATCGTTTAAAGTTTAATTTTTATTGATAACATAAATTATATTATCATGATAATTATATTGAAATAAAATAATAGTATAATTTAAAATCAAAATATTAATAAATTGAAAATGTTGAAAACTAATTATTATATTAAAAGTAAAATACATCAAACTTAAACAATAAAATGAACAATAATAATAATTATACAATCATTCAAAATTCAATTTTTGCAACAAAAATATAAATAGAAATTACAATAATAATTATACAATTACAATAATATATTATATGATATAATTATATGATATAATAATAATTATATCCATGAAGATATTATTATTCTTAGAAAAAAATTCAAATATATAATAGATAGAAATATAATTTTTATCCCCAATAACAAATTACTTCAAAACAAAGCATATCATTGAAAAAATTTTTAAATTTAAAATATTTAAAATCCTAAAATACCCTTAAAAATTGAAACCCTTATGTCTTATTGATAATTATTGCACATAAGTAATCACTTCGCGAGAAAGATTCGACGATCCTAATCTAACAACTTACGTCATAACGACGAAACAAAAAAATATCTGACATTGTCATTGTCGCATTCCTCGCCAGACATAGTAATTCATAATACGTCGTGAAACAAACGATACAATTCCTTCAATTTATTGCGAGTAGCATGGCTCGATGATTTTCTCTCCACGATGGCGTTAATGAAAAAACGCGTTTGGGGTCCGTTGGCGGCATTGACGAATCCCACGATTGCCACGATATTCCACGATTCCACGAGAAAAGAAAGGAGGTCCTCTCGATCCTACGCCCATGAGCTGCCTCCCGAGGCTTCTTTGTCCGACACAAGAACTCAGTGCAACACAATAGCAACGCTCCATAGATAGCCGTTCATTCTCACGCTTCGTAGCTTCAGCTCGGTTCTTTATATATAATATAGGTATATTACATATATACGATACGATATTATATATATATATTATATTATTTACGTGTATACAATACGTGTAAACACGCACATGTACCAACATATGTGAAATATCGAAAAGTGTGGGGTGAAGAGAAAAGGGGTGGTGGAAGAAAGGGTGATGATATACGATGGATAGAGATGTGAGATGTCCTCTCTCGCCGTTTTTACTGAGTTTTTCTTCTTTTTTCGCATAGAGGAAAGGGGAAGGGATGTTTCGTTGTCTATAAGTTGATTCTGAGCTGGAAGTTGGTGGAAGTATGCTGTGGTGTATATTATTGTATAAATTTTGTTAACTATAAAATTTTAGATCTGTATTTTGTTTATATATATGTATGTTGATTGATTAATCTTTAAATGATTGAATTAATTTTATTAGTGAAAATTACAAGAAACTAAAAAAATATATAATAATAATTATAAGACATTTATTTAACGTGAAATTATAAAATTGTAGAAGAGAAATGTACATAGTCTGTACATTTATTTATATAATTATTGTGCAAGAGAATACTAGTATCGTTAGATAATGTTGATAATAATTTATTTTCTTTTATTTTGAAGTATTTCATTTTATCCTATATTCTGTAATTTTATATAATAAAAACTGTTTAGAATAATAAAATCTAATACATAGAATATACAATATATGAAAACAGAAATTAAATATTTTAAAATTGAGGAAATTGATATAAATTTAATTAATAAATGTTCCAAAATTAATAGAATACAAAAGCAGTAGGATATATGATAGAAATAAATAAATTTCGATTAATGTAGGAGAATCGTTTATTGTTATTATCAACAATTAATTAAAATTTAATATAATGATATAATTAACGAGGCAGAAAAGTTATATAAAAAATACACTGAATATAATAGTGATTTTAAAATACATTTATAATGAATAAATATTGTTTAATAAATATATATTTAGAAATATATTAGATTTAGATTTTTCTTAAAATCATTACAATAATTATTAAATATTTTTAATAATTCTTCAATCACTATAAAATAATGCATCATTTTTATTTTAAATATTTTTAAATAAATCGAGCTAAAACAGCTAAAATAAGCTAAAACAAACTAAGAAAAATAATAAATCGTCACTAAAATATAAACTAGGAATGTAGATCAAGAATATTCTACTAAATCAAAGATAATATGATATTTTTTTAAGCTTATTTTCCACGAACTTTCACATTTTTTAAACAACTCAAATTTTTCTATCACTGAAAAATATTACTGCGAAATAATATCTCATATATTGTTGATAAAAATATATGGATGTTAATATACGTTTCAAAAATAAGAAATAAGATATAGATTCGAAACGAATGATAGTTTAAAAATTTTAATTTTACCGACTATTTATTTTCTACCAAGCCACAATGAAACACCGATTAACTAGACAGCTCAGCTCGATAAATCTGTAACAATACCAGTTATCGATTATCCGGGCAAGGCTTTTAAATGAATGAACAGGCAAATAAAGTATTAAATGCAATGAATTTTAGTCTGAAGCAAGAAAGAAGGAAATACAAAGTATCTTTCACTAAAAATTTCCATTAACATGATCGATTATGAAATCTTTTATGGACAATTTTGTGATACAATATCATATACAATGTAATATATAATCATAGAAGTTTTCATACATGTTTTATATGAAATATTGTGAATATATAGCTCATAAAAGATTATACTTGGATTTTTTATTAATGGAATATCACTTGTAGAAAGTGAAAAGTTTCTTAAAATTATTATTTTCGGTTTATTTTTTTAAATATAACTTCGTAATGAGCAAAATTTTAAATTATAAATTATAAAATATTCAAATTTTAATTCTTCATTATATAGAAATTATATATCGTCAATATTAACTGTTAGAATATTTAAAAAATATTCTTTCTTCTTTTTTCGTACATGGCATTTAATATTTATTACAAGGGAAATATTGCAACAATTTTATTTTAAAGTATCATGAATCTTTGTATAATGCATTAGATAAATTTAAGATTTTTCTTTTTGGAAAGATAATATTTATCTTTCATTTTTGAATGCATGGAGAAGCTAATACTGTAAATATTCGTATAGCATGGATTCGTTTAACAGAAATTTGTAGGACATGGTGAAAATATCGTGGTAAAGTTGCTAGGTATAATATAATAGAAAAGGACTCGTATAACGTAATATATATAATGTTTAAGGGTTTAAGTTTGCATTTTTACAATATGGCAAGATATAGTACTATCATAAGAAATCATCAGTGTACATAGTACAATGAAAAAAGAAAAAAAGAAGAAATAAAGGAGATAAAGATATTGGTTATAATATTTTCAAATACATATATATTATCTTATATGAAGAAAAATTAAAGAAACTTTTTTTTTAAGATACAAATAAATAATACAAAAACTAACTATTTTTCAATTTATATTATGTATAAAATTAAATTTTAATCAGGATTTTCTTATTTATTAAAATCAGGAAATTTAAATCAGGAAATTCTTATACAAATATAATTCCTATAATATTATTTTAATTTTTGACTCCATTGTTATATTTGTCATCAATCATAGAGGCAATAGTTTAATTCTTTCAAACTTACTCTATTTTTAATTTTAACTTTTACAAATATTATTTCTAAATATATTTACAAAGACTTCAAAACTCTACCAATAATCGAATCTAAATATATTTAACCCATCATTTTTATTGCAAAACCCACAAAATCGATACTCATCGCGTCTCTGTAATATGTCGCTGATAGGTTTACACGCAAGTAACGATCGTTCCTAGTTGCTAGAATAATTAAATTCGTTACGTACACCGCATGAAACAGCCGCGTGTATTATTTAATGTCGAAATTTGTTGTCACGCTCGGTCGAACAAAAACCGAACAAGAGGGAGAGGACATACTGATCCTCGCGGTTTCATTAATAGTATTTCACTCTCAGGATCGACAAATGCGAATAATCACCACAGATAATGCTCTAGATTTTTTTAATGTGACGTGATGTCACACTCTTATTTGAAAGTAAAAAATAAAAAAGAAAAAAAATTAATTGAGAAAGGAATAACGATTGCTGCGCCATCTAGAGATGCGTGTATTAAGCTACGTTTTCATGAAACGTTAAATTGTATCTTTTACATTGATTAAAATGTATCATTATATTACCCAATGTTACGATTACTAAGAGAACTATCTCAACCAAACATTTTTTCCCCTTTCTTTATCATCTTCATCATGATCATTAACATGTCACTTACATTACGATTAGTAAACAGTGGCTTCATCATTTTCTCAAAAAATCTCAAATCTTTCTCGAAATCTGTCACAACAATCGAAAATCAT